CTACTTAAGTGTTATCCCAAAGTTTATTCAAAGTTGTATTCAAGTTTTACCTGTTAAAGCTAAAATTATACTTCTTCTTTTTGTAATTACACTTCTATTTTCTACTTTTTTAACTAATTATTTAGCCGAAGTAGAATTTGTGTTGTTGCATTACCTAATTGACGGTAAACTAAAATAAGATTTTTTTGGACAACATTAATATTTGTTAAGAAACGAAAAAAAGAGAAAAACATTTGGATTAAATAGTTACTTTCAAAAGAAGAAGAAAGTCTTTTTTCTTACTTAATTACTGAACAATACTTTTGGTAATCTAAACAACATTTTTCAGTAACATTTTGATAGCAGCATCGATACTGTGTATGATATTTGCTGTGGTCATTGTATTCGAGAATATTCTCTTTTGCAATAGGTATTTCTTTTGCTCTTATACACCTAATATCACCAACAATTTATAGTATTGAATTCAACCAGAAAACTATGTAGTTCTTTTCTTCTCTCTGCAACAAACAATTTTTTTTTCACTTTACTTGTTTTTTACTATAACTTTCAGTACCCAAATGAAGCTGTCATTTTTAATGCATAATAATAGCACAAATATATCAATAACACGATAATTACGCCTAGTAATATTGTATTTTAAGGCGATGTTTTGCTGTGGTTTTTACCTATCTATTAGCCTGGATGTTTTTTACATGTGGTTTAATCGGTCTTAAAATGAGCTCTGTTCTACGGTCATGCGAAAATGCAAAATCAACTGGACAACTACGGCGTATATCACCGGCACCAATTTGGATGAGTGAACCACCGGTGTTTGATACTTCACAATTACCGCCCGGTTTTGTACCGGCTTCACAATTTTCACCACCTCCACCAGCCTATAATCAAATCAATTTACCGGTAAACTGTTTACCGGTTCGGATAACATCTGCACCGCCAGCTTATGATCGAATATTTCGTAGTGTTTATCCACAACAGTTATGTACAGCTCTACCGGACAGTTGACCGTCTGAATTTATTGGTAAACAAAAAAAAATTGTATACTATTATTAAATGTTATTTGCTTTTCTGTGTGTATATATTTTTATAGTGTATACCAATGTTCAGCAAAAAAGAACAAAAAATAACCTTTTTATAATAGTTATAAAATGTGATTAAATTTTTTTTCTATCTGCGTAACACTTTTTTTTGTCACTATAAAATGCCCTACAGTAGTTCCTTGTTTTTTTTTTTTTTTCACCCTGCTTTGCCAAACCTTTAGCATAAATTTAGATCCTATAAATTTTGTTTAATTATTTCTTTTAAAGTTACGCTCAAAAAAAAAAAAATATTTTAAATAACAAAACATTTACCACTGCTCAATATTATTGGTTACGGGGCTTATTGCTTTTTGTTTTTCTCTTCCTGTTCTTTTTTCTTAATTTTCTTTCTTTGCTTAAAACCAATTTTTTGTCTTGTATTTTATGTATCTGCAATTTCTCTGTACAAATTATGCATTAAAAGAGATGTCAACTTGATTTATGTTAATTTACGGTGGAGAAGACAACAGAACAATGAATAAAGCATTGAAGAAAGGAAAAAAAGTTTTTGTGGTGCCTAAATTGGTTAGCGAAACGGTGGTAGCTGATTGTGGTGAGAAATGTTGCAAAGATATCTGAACAGTTTATC